TTCACACTTTGCTTTTTTGAAATCTTTGCTTGCGCGCTGCTGACTACTTAAGCTATTTGTTCTAGCTGCGTGTATGCTGTCAGTCTATCAACAACTCGCGCAGTGTATACAAGTACAAGTATGTGTGTTTGTATTAGACACCCGGCAAAAGTTTTGTTTACATAACAATAGAGGCAAGCAAAAGAACGAAAATCACAACGATACAAACGAAAAAAACGAGACAAATGAAAACACAACAAGTTCAGAGTCAAAAATCAAAGCAAAAAGTTGCGAAGAAGAAGCAACATAAACTAAAAAAAAGCAGCGAACGTTGCTCAGCATTTGGTTGATATTCTCTTTAACGTTTGCCACTTGGCTTTTTGGGTTTTACTAATGTGTTGTTTGCTTTTTGCTTTTGCTTTTGTTGTTGTTTACACTTACGCGTGGTTCTCCTCTGCTGTGTAATTTGTATGTTTACATGGGGATGCGTCTTTTACAAACTTGACTGGATTCATTATATATGCTATATGTATGTATGTATATACAATACTTTAGTTACGTATGATTTGAATGTATGTACAATGTATATTTGAATGAAGTGACAAGCTCTCTACGCAGTATATATACTATAGATGTACTATATATTATATATTCTCTACTATTAGCTCTCTGCTAAAAGTAAGTTTTTGCACAAAAGTGGGCATATTTTGTGCGCTTAATGAGTTTACTGCTCTTTTGCTTCCAAGAATTTCTTATAAAGTCAGTATGTGTGAGTACATTAGAGTGGACAAAAAATATCGTCCGAAATGACAAGTGATTTTTGATTTCTTATAGAAAAAATACAAGAATACTATTTTATTTTGTTTGAATGGTTAATGTATTTGAAAAAATTATCGTGTGGTAAAAATGAACATTTACTCTTATGGATAATTTAATGGTCCACTAAAAAGGTCCAGCATGATTTTCTGCGATTTTCACTCCTTCAAAAGTTTTTTAAGATCAAAATCCAACCTTAACATAAAGATGATAATTTTTTTACATGTTCACAAAACTAATACCTCAAAATCATGAAATATCTTATTTTTTGACTTTCGACGTTTTTACTCCCTGAATTCATATTAATATGGTATTTTATTTAGCACGATTGAAAAATGGCGTTTAAAGGATATTTTACAATAAAATAGGTGAAAGTATTAAAAAGACTTAAGATTTTTTATTATTTTATAAAATGAATGGCTTTTAATCCTACTTTTATTTAATTTTTCATGTTATCTAAAGAAAAAAAATTAAAATTTATTTTTTGCCCACCCTAATATATTAATGTATGTACGTATATGTATGTTTATATTTAATTCAAGGCGCTAAAGTTTTATAGGCATATATATATTTTCAACTACACTGGGTCTAAAGTACTCATTAAAAACTCATTTCTCATTTTATACATTCCACATACATACATGCTTGTATACATAGTATGTTACATACTTAAGTACCATACAATATGTTTTATTTCAACAGTTTGGCTTAATTCACTATAAAGTAGGGATACATACATATATTATGTTATATGCAAATATGTATTATATACAATAAATACACTAGACAGAAAAAGTCAGCCTACAAGGTACATGAGTCGAGCAAAGATATTCTTCCACCGAATTATTCTTAAAATCTTATAGGAAGTCGAATATCCCCAACGTTTTAAAACTCCCATTAAGTGTTTTTGCATTGCATAGACAAGCTAAGAGCTTTCTGTCGAAGGGTTGTGATCCCATTCCTCGTGCAGCACATCCTTGAGCATTATCCTTTGCGGTAATTGTGCGTTGGCGGATTTTACGTTCCGGTGAATTCCAGAGGTGATTTTTAAGATTCAAATCTGGTGATTCTGTTGGTGTTTGAAGCTGCTTGGGAACATTGTAGAGTAACCAAAGGTTAACGATGTCGATGCAGTACCCTTTGGATCGTTCTCCTGTAGAATAGTAGTAAATTCCAAGACCCAATTCTTCCACTTCAAATTTATTTGTATGATATTAAGGTGCGCATTTAACCATGTTGGACTCTATACATTCCATTTGGCCCACACAATTACTAGCTATGCACCTCCCTATCATTGCTTCTTCACCACCGTGCTTCACAGTATACATCAAGATTTCCGTATCGTATGATTTGCTCGTTTTCGTTATAAAATCTTACGGCCTTTGATTCCAAAGACCCAAAACTTGTTTTCATCGGAAAAAAATATTTTCTGCCTAAACTCCTGGAGCTTGTTTAAGCGCTCTTTCGCCAAAGCATTATAGCGAGATATAAAAAAAACCGGTATGTTTGTAATTTTTTAATATTTTTTTTATGGAAGAATATGTACTTGCAACAATTCGACTGATTTCACCGTATGTTTTTCCTTCTTTCAAAAGTTTAACCATTATTTCGCTTGCAGAGGATTCCTTTGGTTTATTTTGAGCGCGAGTCGATGTTTTAAATTTAATAACAAACTGAATAAAACAAAAATCGTTTAAAATTGCTACTTTTACGAAAACATTCTTCCTCTTACGCGAACAATTCCCATTTTACTACTTATAAAGCACTTAATGAGATTTCATTCTAAAATGCAGTATATAAAAGATATTATTTAACAAAAGAAAATAAAACATAAGCGTGTACGCAGAGTTTTTCTGCCGAGTGTATATGACTAAATACTTCCTCAAATGTCGAAATGCTTAACTGACAACTTTTTCACACCTACATATAAACATATGTACAAATACGAATCTTTAAGTGTGTATACATACTTATTTATGTACTGATATTTTTACGACTATCTGCCCAATTATTTAATATATGGCAGCGCTGAAGTTTTAATATTATGCTTATGTGGGGTGTATCCGCCTGCGAGATGACTCGCGATGACTCCTGGCAATATAGATAAGAACTTGCGAAATACGCGCACTGATAGAGAAGAACCGACACTCAGATTGCTGAGTGCTTGGCGAACGTGATTCATTTCGTGTTAAAATTATTGATAAAAGCGGCTTTTATTTCATATTGTTCTTGTGCAATTTCCGTCACTTAAATTTTATTGTGGAATTAATTTTTATGGGCTGTAAAATACGAGTGACCTCCAACAGACAAATTAACACACTAATGCTGAGCTTTAAGGTAATTTAAGTTGGGTTCAAACTAGGCATGCAAATTACTTTGAAACAGTTATGAAATATATGCCTAGAAAATCTTTCAATTATCTTTGATGCATCAATTTAAAGAAAAGCGAGCAAGTAGTAGTAGGTATTAAGTAGTGATACAACCACAAACAGAAGCGATTTAACGATAGTGTGGCATACGTGACCGAACATTACTCTAATTTATATCTATTAATGCCCTTAACGATGTTATAGTTTTTATACCCTAAGACAGAATAGGATATATTATATTAAGTTTGGCATGAAGTTTCTAACACCCAGCACAAAATGTCAGAGATCTTATAAAATAGCTAGTCCCCTCAATTTTACAGATATTGATTTAAAATTTTCACCAATAAGCTACTCATTTTTCGGAACCGCCAATATCGGACCACTTTAGCATACACATATGTACATACTAGCTATCTTACAAACTGATCGCGTCAAATTAAGTTATTGTATGGAAAACTTTTTTATTCAAAGATATATTTTAACGAAATTTGGGAAGAATTTTTTACCAAGACAACGGTATAATTTCCAAGGAAATTGATCAACTCAGACCACTAGATCTAATACAATAGCTGCGATACAAACTGAATGATCAGAATTAAGTTTTTGTTTGGAAACTTTGTTATTTGTGAATTTTATTCTAGTTTTGGTTCGACCGAAGTTAACAGTTTTTCTTGTTTCATACATACATATATCACTTCAAAAATCCCTATATAAGTTAACGTTCCTACTCATATTCATATTTATACTCGTATAGTACATCCTTGTCACCTTTACTCAAAACATGCAAATGCACAATCGCCAAATCTTTTAATAATAGTCTCTGCACTAATCGTTCGTCGCTCGCACTTAATTGAGCACTCTAAATCAACTAATAAAAATAAATTGCTATATAAATAAATTTATAATAATAGCCGCCTCGGCTAAATTGGAAGCTGGCACCGCATGAACTCATGACACGACGCTGTTGCTGACGAAAGACCGATTGCTAATTATTTAATTTACCAAATTTGAAGCAACAATTTCTTGCCAGCGCTGTGTGCCATTGAAATCCGCTTCATAGCTATGAGTGTGAGTATGAGTACTGACTGTGTATATGTGTGTGTGCGTGTCGCAAATATTTGCGAGAAATGAGCGTGATTATATGCGGTTGTACGTAAGCAATTAGTGGCGTTTTTAGTTTAGTAAGATCTAAAGCAAAATGTTAAAGAGAATATTCAAAGGCGCATTGTTAAATAACTAACCATATGTGTGTAGTGTGTGTGTGTGTGTGTTTGTTTGTAAGTATGTGTGACTTGCTGGAAGGCGGATGAGCGCAATGGCTGCGTCCGTTTTGAGAGAGTGGTGTCTTTATATATCATAACGGCATTGCATGTATAAGTGTGCGTAATTTCATTGAGTATTTTGTGTGGAGAGAGTGCGCGTAACCAAAACAAAAACACAGTAGCGCACTCCCGCACACACTAACACGCAAAACTATAAACAATTTAGTGATTGACTTTGAATTTGTGTTTGAATTGCCTTTTGCTATTTGCTTCTTGTCATTTTCTTTTTTAAAATACTGTGACTTTTGTTGCTCTTTGCGCTCTTGTTCTCACTTGCTGCTCGTTCTCTTTGCTTTTACCGCATTTATGGCGGCATACCGCCTTGCGACCCATACACGTGCACTCATGCACGCACGCACACTCTGAGCAAAATACAGTTTTGTGCCTTTGCTACGAATACACAGTTGTAATTATGTTTGTAGTTGTAGCACCAAAAGCAACCTCAACAAATGCCACCGAAACTGAAACAGCATTTTATAACGTTACGTAAATTCTTCTTCTCCAAACATTTCAGAGTTCAAATACGGCGCTGAAGTCGTCGGAAGCGGACGCATTAACTCCAGCAGCTGGACAAATTGGTCGAAAAATAAATTCACCTCAATTCCAAATAACTTGAAAAATAACGGTGAATTATTGCAAATCAAGGCGTTAAATAGTGTGTACAAACGGTTTTAGTTTTTGTGCTCGATTCAGTGTTATAAATGAATGCCAAATGTAATGGTTGATAAGTGTAAAAATCTATAACAGTGTTACGTAAAGTACGTGTTACGTCTTCATGCGGTGAAAAAAACGAAGAAATTACAAAAATTTGTTTTTGTTTAAGAGTTCGAAGTGTAAGTTTTGAGTTTAATTTATTAGCTGGTTAGCTGATAGGAATTTTTAAAAAAATTTTTGATGATTAAACAAAAAAATTCGAATCGAAAATTTTTATAACATCTGAAGACATGCAATTATTTAGACCAACAAAACTGTGTGTGTTTCTTAAATAATCAATCAATTAGCCGGATTTTTAATTATTATATTTACTTGAATCAAAAAAAAAATAATAATTATTAAGAACTTAGTTTAAAAAAAATATATGATAAAAATTGTATTATAAACTAAATTTTTTTTGTTGATAAAAAAAGATAATTAAAGTTTTATTGACATAATTTATGTAAAATTTTATTAATAAAAAAATAAAAATAAAATATTTTAATAAAAAAAATTTAAAGAAATAATTTTTAATTAAAGTAAGTTGAAGTCAAAAATTTAATTAAAAATTTTTTTGTGCAAATTTATTAAGCATTCATTGATACAAAATATTACATATTATTTAAAATTTTTTTAATAAAAAAAATTATTCTTTTAAGATCAAAATAATTTAAATAATTTTTAACTAAATATGGTTAAGGTATTGTTGTTTGAAAAATAAGCATAAATGTTTCGGTATTAAAGCAAAAATAAATTAGTTTCGATTTTTAATTTTTATTTTAACTTTATTAACAGATAAAAAATTATTTTCAATTCCAACTCTCTCGAAAAATGTTTAAATCACTTAATATTTGTAAATTTGTATGTTATTTTAAAAAATTTTAATGTAAATAATATATAAAATTTATACAACAAAAAAAATATTAAACAAAAAATTTATCGAAACTTGAATTCTCTTCTATTACTTTGGTAAATACTTTAAAAAGTAAATTTTATTATTAAATTCAAAATTTATTAAACACAAAATAACTTATATAAAAAAATTTTTATTTATGACTATAAAAAGTACTAGTTAAAAACGACCTAAAAAATATTTAAGAGATAAACAAATTAATTATAATATTATTAAAATCTGTTATATTAAATAAAATAATTAAGGTGAATTTAAAAAACTTCTTAACCGTAAAAATTTTAAAATAAAAAATCAAAAAAAAAATTTTTACCAAAAAATTGCAGTAGGTAGAAAAATTGAATTAAAAATTATTTTGAAAAGTTTTACATATTAGAAAAGCAGATATTTTATTAAATTCTACAATTTATTAAATAAAATAATTACTTAATAAATATAGAAAAATATATATTTAAAACTTATAAAAGTAGCTAGCATTAAAAAAAATTAAGAAATACTTAATAAATTAATACGAAAACTTTCAAAATGTGTAAACATCAAAGTGCTCACAAGAACCTGCAAACACATATTTAGAATTCGTAATTCCTTACTGGAATTGGGAAAAATATTTTTAGGTAATCGGATTCAACTCCATACTAAAACGCAGTCAGCTTGCCAGCCAAACACGTCGTACGCCACTTAAGCCTTATAAAACTTGTGATGAAAAAAAAAATTTAATAAAAATTCTATTTTCTCTCTACAGCGCACCGCAAAGGTGAAAGGTTGTGCATTAAAGAGCAAAACAACAAAAATAATAATAAATAAGTAAGATAAATAAAAAATAAAATCAGAATTGTGAAAAAAAAACGCGAAAATGCGAAAAATTATTACTCAGTGAATGTGTAGCAACAAATCAATAGAATAGTGTTTACACAAGAAAAAGAAGAACAAGCAATTTTGCAGTGAATAAGCAACAAATAATGTCAAAAAGTGCCACTGAGCAATATCAAATCAAAAAGAAGCGAAAACACAACCAAAATAAAGCAAAGAACAACCAGCAAGTGAAGCAAACAAACCAAATTTTTAAAAATCAAATTAAAATTCACCAAAATAATAAATACAAAGTGTTTAAGAAATATACAACAACTACTGGCGACGCTCTAATCAAACAATTAACGCTCACTGAATTCTGTCTGCAGCAGCAGCAGCAGCTACAACAGCAACAACAACTTGAATACTTATTTAATAACAGCAACAGCAACGTAAATTTAGTGACGCCAACCAAAGTAATTGTTAACGCCAAGAACGTCAATAGCGACGTTGTTGCGACGCGTCAGTGCGCGCAGTGCAACAATCTAGATAACAACACTGCAACGCAGCGTTCGTGCTGCTTACGTGACCACGCGCAGGTGCTGTTACAAAAGAGCAAAACACGCCTAAGCGAATATAATAGCAACATTAGTAGTATTCTGATTAGAAGCAAACGCAACGCCAATAGCAACATGCCGCTCTCACAAGGCTTCTCAGCGAAAGTGTGTGCCGGCGGTGCAGTAAAGCGCACCGCACCCAAGCCTGCGCTACCCCGTCAAGTGGAGGCTGCGAAGCGCAGCAAATCAGCAGCGGCAGAGAATTTTACACGCCTCGCGCCACAGCGGCATCTGCATGCGCGCCACGCTAATAGCGGCAATAGCAGTAATAGTAACAAATGTTTGAAGAGCAGCAAATTCGACAGCGCGTACAAGTCCATGACAACCGCGTTGGGCGCGTCCTCACTACTAGTGGGCGCCGGTGCGCGCTATGCGTCCAATACTTCTACTGATCTCACGCATAGCAGCAATTTACAGTTCTACTATTTGCTAGCTGAGTCTCTGACGCGCTACGGTAGCCTCTTAGAGGCATTTGATGTATATGCATTTATAGCCAGCGAGCAGCTAGATAGCTGCATACCGCTGGATCGTCTCAATACATTCGCGAGCGCGCTTATAACGTACGTGCGACAAATGGGCGCGTCTGCTAATGACAACAGCCAGGAATTATTCGCTACGTCCGTGGTGAGCGCGAATAAACTCTCTGAAAGCACTGCGCTCGAGTCCGCATTAAAAGTGAAGTATGAGCGCAGCTCCGCCAGCTGGAGCACCGGTGCATCGGGTGTGGTGCCATGTGGAATTACAGCCACTACACCGCCCGTGCCGGATGCGGTCGTGGGCGCGGGCTTAGCGGACATGCATTCGCCTACGCGAGAACTATTACGTGTGCCAAGTCCGACGCAAAGCGAGGACTACGATCCATTACTTTGCCCGCTGTGCAATGACATACTGCGTTGTCCGGTGACAACGAATTGTGGGCACACTTTTTGCCGACTGTGTTGTGATACCATTACGCAATGCAATATTTGTCATGTGAAGTTTCCGCGCAGCAGTCACGATGACTTCGTCTCGGACGTAACGAGTGGCGCGCGCAGTTACGCGAACACGTCTAGCTCAACGCTCACCACACTAACAACTTCTACAACTTCGTCGGCGGCTTTATCATCTGCAAGCGCTTATTCGATGCCAGCGCATGTAGGCGCGTCGCGCTTGCCATCATCTCATCAAAATGCGTCCACCTCGGCGTCGGTGTTCACAAACATTTCCACTTATGCACCAACTGCTGCGAACAATACGGCTTCACTAAGCAATGATAATTCTTTGCTTAGAAGACGCCTTCAATCACGTACCTCACTTGGTGCTAGCAACAACGGCAATGATAGCTTGGAAACAACTGTTGCACCCACTCGCTTGCAGTTGGTGCCGACGCCGACGCCTACCCCGCCAACGACCGTGACGACGGCAACTGTTGCTTTAACAACGGCCACGGCCACCACAACAATGGCGTCCTCGGCATCCGGCGGCGGTGTTGGCGGCGCTGGCATTGCGGCGTCATTAAACAGCTCTGCAGCAAATATGAAATTCATGCCAGACGTCTTAGTGCGCCGTCTGGTGGAGAAATGGTGGGGCGCTGATTTGCAGGCAAAGAAGAACAATGAAACCGCCGCCAGCTATATGCATATGAATCTGCTAGATGATGCGTTAAAATTCTGCAACGCCAGCTTGGAGAAATGTAAGTAGCAACTTATTTTCAAAATATGTTATTAGATTTTACTAAAATTGTATCTCTAAACGTTCAGTTTTGACTACAAAATCTGTATGCATTATACTAGAACGAAACTTTTCAGCTTAAATATATTATAGCGTGTATCAGACCGATTTTTATAAAAAACAATTTTTGTATCTGCGTTAGATTTTTAGACCTTGTAAACAACATAAACTTTCATCCGAAAGTTCTGAAAGTTTTATCTGAAATTGCTTAAACTTTCATTCTCAGTTTTAAACTGATAACGTTTAATTCGATCTTAAAATTTGAACTTTAGTATAGAGCTTTCACACAGCTTTTTTATAGCTTTTCTCGATTAATATTATATGTGTATTTATTTAAAATGGTTTAATGAAAAAAAGCTTTCTAGAGGCTATATATATTATTTTCATAATTACTAAGCTTTCATTTCGATTTTTTGTTGTAATTATATTTTTCATTGACATTGCGAAATTGAATGATTTAGAAGTTATTTCGTAACCATTCGTTAAATGAGCTTTTGTATATAATAAATATAATATATAATAAATATTTTAAATATTCTAAATATAATACGCATGACTTCACTAATTTCCCCGAATCGTGTATACATATGTGTAATATTTCATCTATTTGAACAACCGTCGATAACAATTTCGATGGGCTTTCGAGATGAATAATCAAGCGATATGAAAAAAAGTTTCATGGAAAAGTCTCAAATGGTTTTACCAAATTAAAATGAATTCCTAAACACTAAATAAACGCCACATCAATCACTTGGTGCTGAAAGTTACGTAAATGTTTTAAAAGAATGTAACGGTACATATACACACACAGAGATGAATTGTATAAGAACACTTGAACATAATAACATTTATCTGTCGCATATTTGTGTTCTGTCATGCTTATCAGCCTATTCGGCTGGGAGTGTAGATTTCTAGGTATATTTTCTTTAAATCAGTATATGTTTGTATGTGTTAGAGTACGTGACACTCGCTGATTACAAGCGAATGTAAATATCGGGAAAATCGATAAATGCGCCAAAGTGTTTGCTGCTGTTGTTGACAGTTTACTCTTATTGTGATGATTTTCCTTCTAACTTTTATTGTTGGTTTGGTTACAGCATTCATTGTTGTTGCTGTAATTTTCCTTTGCTGCTGCCTTGGTGGTACTCATTCTTGCTCAATATACATATATTATATATAAACATTTGGAAGGGATGTTGAAGCTAACCCACATCTGCCACCCATCCGCCACCACACAATGTCAATGCTGATGTCATGCAGCGCACAGTTAGCCACCAAGTTAGTCAGCCATCCAGGCAGCCTGCTGTCCAACAACTATACGGTTATATGAGGCTTAGCACGCTTCACTCAAGCGACGGCAACGAGCAACAAGTTAAGTATAAATATCATGCTTGTACTTGTTGTACTTGTATGTGAGAATATGTTGTGTATGTATGTATGTATGTATACCTATATGTGTGTGTAGGTGTATGCTGTGGGGCATTTGCGAAAATGGCAAACGGTAGCGGTTACTCTATTGAGAGCAGCCCAGTTGTTGGCTCTACATGCTTTCGGTCGTTATGCTCATTCCATACATACATATGCATATATTGTCGTTTCTATTATATACACATTATATGCCATCTTTGCTGGTTCCTCTGAACGCTGTAAATATTTGCTTATATATGGTTCTGACACACATATATGTTATGTCTATATATATCTATATATAATAGAATATTTACATATGCATCTATATTATCTATGGCTACATATTTGCATTTTAACTATGTTAGAGTATGCCTTGCTTAACGATCTGTACGCTCTGCCATAATTGACCATAAATTTCTTCCGCCTTCGGATCAATATTGGTCACACAGTCAAGCAATAAAAATTCCTATCAGTGTTGACATATAATGACTACAAGCTATGTGGGTTCATATAAATACATATATACTACATATGTACAGTGAGAATTGAATTGAATTTTTAAATTAGGTTAGGACAGTCCAGAGGCTTCAAGAAAGAATAATAAGAATAAAGGTGTCGAACTTCTTTCTCTAAAGCTTTATTCATTAGATATTTGAGTGCGTTTAAAACAAAATTGTTTATTGATATGTTGATACCAAATACTGACTACTGGTGCAATCTTCGGAATCACCATTTTCAAGCGAGTCGTTACAGGCGACAGTGAACTTATGCTACCTGGTGCCAAATACAACACAAGAAAAACTTTAACTTCGCTTGAAACTGAATAGACTAAAAGGGTATAAAAAACGTTATCTGGATTTGGATCGGTCAGTTTGTCTGGCATCTATATGCTATAGTAGTTCGATCTGAAAAGTTTCTTCGGGAAAATTGCTGTGGTCTTGGCGTTTTCGGCAAATAAGAATATGGCCAACTCAACTCAGCTCTTCATGCTAATCATTTATAACTACACTTTATAGAGTCTCCGACCTTTCCTTCTGGGTGTTACAAACTACGTGACAAACTTGATATGCCCTGTTCAGGGTAAAACAAGATTTTTTTAGAATCTTATTTTAAGTAAAAAAATGTTGTCGATTTTGGGAAAATTCGAAACTACATAACCAAATATATTGCCTCCACTGTGACCATCATTCACAATAACAAATTTACAGGAATTTGTGAGACCATAAATTTCGATGCTTCCTTACTTGATATCAAATGACTCGAAAAAAAAATGTGTCCGTATTATACATATACATGTATGTACCTTAATAAATGACCACATCCTTGCTTATCCTGCCACATGTACGACAAATTATTGGCCACAACAGCAACAAGCACATGCAAATGACATAACCGAGTGAGCGCGTCTGCTGTGCTGTCGGAAGGTTATGCAGCAATGCGGCAACAAGCAACTACTAGCATTTATATGTACATACATAGATAACTTTTCAAAAAAATTTTAAATTCATTTACGGTCAAGGCCTGCCATTGGACAAAATGCTGGCGGAAACTACAGGGTATTCTTTGTTTTTGTATATATGCAGGTAGCATAGCAGCCGGTCAAAAGGTGACAGCAGAAAGTGAAAAACTGTGAAATAAATTTTCGAATGTGTCTTTCAATTTACCTCCACACACACGGCTGCTTTTATGGCATTAAATATGAATTGAATTGGCTGTCAGCAGCATATAAACTAGTATAAATGATATATACTTGTAAAGTTGTTTTTTTTTTTTTTTTTTACTAAGCGCGTGAAGTGTGCTGCTGCGTCAACATTTACGGAATTTGATGTCATTTGTAGTTTCGTGCGAATTCCGCAACTGTAAAGCTTAATAACTTAATCTGGTACAATGATCAGCGCATCAACGTGTCTATCACTTACACGCCTAGTACCAAGCACAAAATTTCGCAAACATACTGACAAACATACCCTCGTTGGGAAAGTAAAGCTGAATATAAGTTGTATGTTTATCACAGACTTAGAAAAAAACATTTTTCAAAATTTAGATAGTATCCTAAATATTTTTACAATTTTTCTGAGAATTCATTAAAAAACGCTTTTGAGTAAAAAAAAAAATTTAATTGAAACTAGGTAAATATTAAATTAATATTGAACACAATACAAAAAATAGTTTTCAAAATCAAAGATTTATTACGGAAAACTTTTGGGTTAAAAAATGTTTCTTAAAATTGTATAATATTTTTTTTTTAATTTTCTCGCTTTTATTACGGCAATAATTCAACAAAACTGCTTTTTAATCGTTTTGGGTATGTGACTTAGCTAACTAAGGCTACACTTTTTATATTACCTTGCCTACATTTAGGATGACATTCTAGACCAAATTACCTCTTACGTTGAAAAAGATTATGTCATAATACATCCTATGTTAAAACTTTTTGGCTGTGCGATTTACCTAAAATATATCTCCATTATATTGCCTACAATTACGGTGATATTTTATACTAAAAAACCTCTTACGTTAAAAAATATGAACAAAAAATATTTTATGAAAAGAAAATTTCTCTCTCGAACAGTAGTTAAATGAGTAAATGGCAAATAGGTTTTGATATGGAGTAATTAAAATACAGATTTGAGAAACAAGTTCATAATAGATTTAGAATTTGATTAGAACTCTTACTTAGGGTGCGGAACTTAGCTAAAACAGAATTGTGTTGTCTACAATTAGCATGATATATTCCAAATGATAAATGTTGGCTGCAGACATGGGCAACTTTAATTCAAAGGTATCACTCCAAAAACACTGCTGAAATGCGTCACTAAATGATTTTTAATATGATATATATACTTTAATTAGATAGCTTAATTAGAGTGTGGAATTTGTGGGTTTAGGTAGTAATAAATAAATGACTAATATTTTGTATCTTTAATTTAACAATTATTATTTTTATTAATAAATTTACAAAAAATAACAAAAACAAGCAAGAGAAAAAATATTAATAATTAGCGCTTACAAAAGCAATTCTCTACTGGGTACATACAAGCTTCCCCCGCTTGTATAATGCTTTGTTTATACATACCCATGTATATTAGTACAACGCTGTGTGTAAATTAGCGCAACGTGAGCGCCGGCACGGCAGATGTCAGCTAATCATGGAAAAATAAGCATTCGCCCAGAACATTGTATTTTATCATCCGACCAATATATGGTATTTGTGATGTGCGGTGGTGGCAATGAACCCAACAACAAACAAAATTTCTCTTATACGTGCATATTTACATTCATACTTACCAAATACATATAAATACTAAATATATTTGACTATAAAAGAGAATTCTTTACTCAGCGCTTTTGACTAGCTTACTCATAGCACTGATGTATATGGTATATACAAATATCTATATATATATATGATATGATATTAGTGTGTATGTATGTGCTTATGTAATATCTTCAATAGTAGCACGTAAGAATTTATTATCGCTGTGTGATTTCGTTATCAGGTCATAAATGCATGCTTTAATCACCTTTTAGGTATTGTAATTGCTCGAGAAT